AGAAGTAAAGAGTACTACTTATCTGTATGGCAACTGTAAATTAGAGTGGCAGAATTCTGAAGGCCCTGTCACTTTCCCCAGTATATAAATTAAACATACATCTACTGACTTATTGCTGTGCAAAAAGGAGATGATTTAAGGCAAAACTTGAAGATTCAAAGTTGCTTCAATTTTATTTTATTCAAAAAAATATTCTGGTTATTCGGGTGATTTTTGAAAAGTAAAATATGAAAAAAATATTGTATAAAATTATTTAGGGAGAACGGGACTATGTAAAGACTAACCTTACGGATTCTCATTTGAGGATTCAGTTGACTGTGCATATAAAAATCATAATAGCAATTTACAGATACACACAGGAAATACTAACATGTACAGATAGATTTTTCCAATGAATGTGCCTACAGATTCAGCTGGGTAACCATGGCAACTAAATGTTTTAGCTTAAACATCTTAAATGCACAGACAACAATTTGAATAATAATGCCATCAGTTAAGGCATTATACTTTTATCAAAGAAATCTGCCTAAAGAAAAATGACAATTAAAATGTTCTTTAAAAATCCATAAAAGTTGCTAGACCATTTCATATGTACTTCACAGTTTAAAAAATAGGTCATGATTACTTTATTACTTTACATAACTAAAATGCTTTCTGCTAAGTGTTTAAAGCTTGGTCAATATTTTTGCCCTTTGAAAAAAATTCATTGCCAATGGTAAATTGCCGAGTGAGCAAACACTGCTTTGTCTGTGTGCATTTTTTTCTTTCAAGACAATAAAGAAATCAAAGCAAATCCACAGAAGATGATTCCTCTGGACACAACAGAAATCTAAAGAATAGTGTGTGTAGGAACAAAACACTGACTCCTGTAACACACAAGATGACTTCACAGCCCATTACTGAGTTTGTAACTCCTTGTTGCAATTTGATGAGGAATTTAATCATTGCAGATGAAGATTACCCTTACTAGTATTTATTTTTATTAAGGTTGTATGATGCAAGAGAAAACATAAAATGATAAACGGGTGAAAGAGAGGAACACGTATGACTAGAAAGATCATCAACATGCAGTATGAATAGGCTGAATAGTTACAACAAAATAATTTGTGGATGCTCCAAGTAGAAAATAAGTTGTATGCATACATATTCAGCCATTAATCCTAGCTGGTAATTTGCATGAATAATTAAGAGATAGCAGATTCACTAAATGTATTTTAAATGGAACCTTCTCTATGAAACACGGTTATGAAATAAAGACTTAGATTTTCCTCTAAGCCACACAGGGAAAGAGTTACTTAACAGATATAAAGCTATTTTTCAACATGCTTTCTCACTACGTTAACTGAAAGAAAACTCAGGGATAACTTCTGGAAGGAACAGGGAAGAGATTTGCAGATAGCCTTGTTGCAGAAAAAGGACAAGTAAGGTAGAGCTTTCTGACATTTGGTCCTGAATTTCTGTAAACTTTTCAGAAGAATTAATAGGCACCATGGAAGGCGCAAGGAAAAGGCAACCAGAATCAGATGGCTTTCCCCATGAGACACCAAAACCAGATTAAGGCCTCACTGGAGAAAGATGAGAGGGAGAAGTGAAACACACTTAAAGAATACTAAACCTCTACGTCTAAAAGTAGCCAAAGTGGGGAAAAAATACAAATCTTCCCTAAAAGGTATGAAGATTAAACTACTATCAGATAATCTAGCCATAAAACTCACTGAAAGCCTGATCGATTTAGCTCTCTACCTTTTCTCAAACCTAGTAAGAACATCTTGCACAAAGAAGGAATAAATTTTCTCTGTGCCCATGAACTTGTCCAACCTGTGAGATACAGGAAATAAAGGGCCAGGTGAGTTCTGATACAAATTCTGCCAGTACAGCTCACAGACACAGAAGTTACTCTACACTGACAGAAAATGTAGTTTTCTGCCAGTTTGGTATCATCAGTGAACTTGCTGAGGATACACTCTGTCCTCTTCCGTTCCAAGATGAAAGGCTCTGTAAATTAACATCTCAGTAAAGCCTGCTCTCCTGGTAAGGACTTTTGAAAAGAGGTGTGGAAGAAGGCTTGAGGAATAGGCTAGGAAGAGGGATTGCTGTAACCATGGTGTTCAACACTATGCTATTTAAGACGATATGGATTCAGATCAACTGTCAACAGCTTGAATCTAAAGAAAAAGTATACAAAAGAAACAGATTTAGAAGGAAGGACCCATGTCTCTTACCAGTCCTTGAAAAGTACTGGTATGACTACTGTAAGGAATGAAGAAATGAGCGTGAATTTGAGTTTTGAGGATAATTAGTCAAGATATTCAGAAAGAGGAGCCAAAGTTGTAGCATTTAAGATCTGCAACTTGGCTTCCGTCAAAATGCTCTTGTGAAGCTTCCTGGTTATGTCAGTGTGGGCAGAGAGTCTCTAAAATACTGAACTACCTGTCCAGTGTTAGCTCAGGACAGTTTTCCATGGACAATCTTCAATTGGACAATGGACAATCTTCAATTACGGCCTGCAGTTCATGGGCCATTCAGAGCTCTATGCCCAAACCAGTCACCTTCAGAAAGTAAGACACAACATGTTATCTAGCTTCTTGCGACTTGAAAGAAAAGGGAATTTATTTATCTTAATCTTCCAAAGCACGAAATCCATTTGATATCAGATATTGGACTTAGAATAGCAGAACCTGGTAATCTGCTATTCTTATTTGAAGGTCTGGGGGAAGAAAAAAAAAAAAAAAAAAAAAAGGAATTTTTTTCCCCACTACA